CCCCCCCGCGGCCCCCCCTCCCCGCTTCGCCGCCGCCGTGACCCCAACTCCCTGTCGCCGTGCGGGCCCCGGGGACGCGGTCTCCCAGCCCGAGGGCCCCGACCTGGCCCCGACCCACCCGCCGCCTTGGGCCCGCTTCCTCTGCTGGCTCGGCCCCAAAGCAGTGTGTGAGCCTGGCTCCCAGAGCTGCGGGAAAGCCGAGGAGCACCCTCCCGAGGGCGCAGACTGACCTCAAACCCCGCCCCCCAATAGTAGCGCCGCGGGGTTGGGGTGGTCCCTCTCTGTGATTCAGTTCACAGCCTGCCCCTTCAAAAAATAAATAAATAAAAAAGAAGTAAAGTCACGTGCAAGGGTTGTACTTGGAAAGCATCCTCTGGGGGAGGAGGGGGGTGCCTCAGACACCTGAGGATCCAAGGATGTTTCCAAACAAAGGGCCCCAGGGCACTTTCTCTGGGGATTCTGAAGTCTGTCTATGGGATCCATTAGAGCGGTGCAAAGCGGCAGCGCAGGCGGGCCACAAGGCCCCAGGGATCCGTCTCATCCCAGCTGATCTTTTAATGCTCCGGTGCAGCTGGGGAGTTTACCTCTGGAAGCCCTCAAATGCTGCGAGGGCATGCTGGATGCTACTCGTGATTGACGGTCATCGCTTCTTTAAGGAAGCCTAGGGCAATTTGAGGGGTCCCAGAAACTGCATCTATGCTGTACTGAGGTCTGTTACCCTTTAGAGTCTGGTCAGGACGGCTCAGACCTTTAATGGTCCCTTGATCTACCTTCTTAGACTGAACCTTATCTTCCGTTGTTTTCAAACCTTGGACTCCTTGGTCTAGCTGCCTGGCCTCTCTTGCCTTAGACATGTTTGCAACTGTTATTCGACAGCTTTTTTTGTTTCGTTTTTGTCTTTTTTTGAAGAGTCTGGCTCTTTATTGGGGTTGAACTCCAATTGTGCTTTGGAGTAGCCTGTCTACAGACCCTGAAAGCAGAGTCAGTGGTAGGCAGGGAGGTCAACCAGCCCTGCACTGGGGCGTTGGCAGCTGGATGAAACTGTGGGGTGGACATGCTGTGTAAGTCTGGGCCTTTGAGCCCATGTTCAGAGCCCTTAATCTTTTCTTCAGCTAGACTCCCACTATCCCTCATGTGTTCCCTACTCTTTCTTCACGGTCACTTCATAAGGTTTACCCCTTATGCTCCATTCTTTGTCACTCATCTGGAGTTACCGCTCCAGGAGTCCTTCCTTAATCTATTAGTAAGCTGACCTGGGTAATACCATAAACTCCCAGGAAACTTAATGGCGGCTGTGTCTTGACTTCTGGACTGGGCTCTTTGAGGATAGAGATATTTTTCTGTATTCCTGGGACTGAGTCTAGATATTTGGCATCAGAAGAAACAAATAAAAACGAAACAAACAAACAAACAAAAACCCCTCAAGCATGGCAGTATAAGCATGTGGATCTAGCTGCTTGGGGGCCTGAATGGGAGGATAATTCACACCATGCAATTCAGGAGCAGCCTGGCAACATAGCAAGCTCCATTTCAAAGAATAGGAAAACTGTAGAATTTAGCTGAGCTCTAGACACACATTTGTAATCCTGACACTTAGGAGGCTACAGCAGGAGGATTACCAATTTGAGGCCAATTTGGACTATGTAGCAAGCTCCAGGGCAACCAGAGCTACATAGTGAGATTCCATGTCCCAAACAACCAAGTATGTTAGTAGCAGTGCTTGCCTGTAATCCCGGCCCTCGAAAGCCAGTGGCAGAGGGCTCAGGACTCAAGGCCAGGCTAGCCTGTGTGACATCTTGTCTTAAAGAAAGGAAAGAATGCCATTGAATTAAAATGAGCTTGATTTCAATCATCCCAGAAGCCCAGGAACAGGTGCTGCTGAGCATATCTGCTAAAGAAACACCAACATGGCAGAGGGCCAAGAGACCCTAGAAAGTGATGTATTCCAGCCAGGCCTTCCCTTCAGTCACAGAGTGGGAGCCTTGCTTGACTTCCAACCTGTTCTAGCTTCATACCTTGGTACCATCCTTATCAACTCTTTTCTTTTTGCTTTGGAGGTGCTGAGTGCTGGTTTGTGGATACCCAGGCAGATCTGCAGTGCCTAATGCCATAAGCATGGTAGTGCACCATGTGGAGGAGAAAGCTGTACACTCCTGGTCACGCATTTCCACAGCAGGGAAGAAAGCCCTGGAAGAGGCACTGCTTGTGTTTAATCCCATGAGCCAGGATCTCAGTGCCACAGAGGCCCAGCTTGTGGCCTTCCTACAGGGCCTGCGAGATGATGGCTTCCAGCCGACCATTCTGCGAAGTGGTGATGTCTATGGCTATAGTTCATGCACAGCCAACCCCCCCAGCCAGACAAAGCTACAAGCTCGTACCACCAACCCATCTGCCACATCTCTTCCATCCAGGGCTCCCCAAACTGCTGTGTCGCTACCTGCAAGCCAGGCCACACTGCTCCCTGTGCCACTGTCCGGCAGGCTGGCTAAGGGGTCCACACCAGCCCTCGCCAAGCATGCTACCACTAACTTGCTGCTGAGCTCCCTGAAGCAATCAAATGCCAGCCACACCAGTGGTACAACAGTAGGCTTCCCTGCCCACCTCTACCCAGGTGTCTACCCTGCCATGCAACTCTCTGTGGTCCTTGAAGCACTGGTCCCACTCAAGACTCCTTGCTTGGGTGCTAAGCATAGGGCACAGTCTCCGCAGCTGTCACTTGCAAACTCTTCCCTGAAACTGAGAAAAGGTTCGGGGAACCCACAGTCCAAAGCATCACAGAAAATCACAAGCAAGGGCATAAAATGCCTGAGTAGGAAAGGCCCTGGGGCTGATCCACAAGGCTCTGGGCCCCGGAGCAGTGGCCTACGTGTGAAAGGGTGCTCTGCCTTGGGCACCAAAACAGTCCAGGCCAAGGCATCTCGAACACTGACCAAAGCTGCTCATGCCCACGCCAGCCTAGCTCGAACCCAGAACAAGACAGTAAGGGTCAGGGCCAAGACAACAAAGACCAAGCCCAGGGCAGCAGGAGCCAAAGCCAAGGCCACTGTAGTAAGGAACAAGGCTAAAGCCAAGGTGGTTAAGGCCAAGGCCAAAGCAGCTCAGACCAAGCACAAGGGAAGGCCAAAAGGATCTGTTCAGAACAGAACTGGAAGGACAAGCCTGAAAAGTGGCTCTGAGTCTGTGGGGAAGAAGAGGAAGAAAGCTGAGGAGGTAAAGGGTCTTCCTCCTAAGAAGAGAGCACGGCTTGTGCTCCAGTCTCCTAAGGCAAGGCTGCGGCCTGGAGCAAAACCACAAAAGTCCCAGACTATAAAGGTGGACAGGAAATTCTCAGACGATGAGGTTCGACAGTGGGCCCAGCAGATCCTCCGTGTGAACCTCTCTCCAGTAGTATGGCTCCAGCCATTGCTACCATCTTGATTCCGTACTCAGCATCCTGAGTCGTCCTTGGCAGCAGTGCTTGGGAAAACAGTTGGGCTGTCCATGTGACCAGCATCACAGTGTGCTCAGTGTGCTATGCTCGTGGACTCTGCAGCTTTCCGGACTCTGGGTACCTCCAGGACCCCTGTGGTCACCATCCTCTCTTCAGAAGCTGAGGATTTGGGGTGGGGTGGGTAGCGGGAAGGGTGTTCTCATGGCTCAATGCACTGTGACTTGTTCTTCAAGTTGTACATTCTATGTTCCATCTATCACGTTTTATATCTTTCCACCTTCCAGTCTCCCTGCTCACCTTCCAAGGTCTTATTGTTTGATTTTGGTGTGTGTGGGCTGCTGGCAGGAGTCTGCCAGTGTAGTCCTAGGAAGAGGCTTGGAGAGAATGCCCTGGTAGCTTGGAGCAGGTCATCAGTTTGAGTGATAGGGTAATATCCTGGAAGGGCAAATCTCCCAGGCTTCTGGAGAGATGTGAGGAAATTCAGGTGTTGGCTTCTATAGATGTGTGTGAGAGATCCTGAGGGGAGGGGCAGAGCCACTATGAAGTAGGGCACCTCACCTTGAGTGGCCCAGTTTTGAACCAGATGGGCCCCATTCAAGATTGTGAGGCACTCTGGGAAATCCTGCAGCTAGCAGGTTTTTAGGCCAGGGAAAGAAGCCTTGTGATACTGCTCTCTAGGGGATGAGGTTTAAGGCTCTGCTTGTATTTGTCTAGGGGTGGGAACAGGCTGAAAAGGCTTAAGGTATTGCTACTCTGCTGAAAGTGACTGGCAAGAGGCCTGACTTGGAATTTGAACCACAAAACCTGCCCTTACTGTCCAAAGAATTTTCTCTGTGGTAACTGACTGGTAGATCCAGGAAGGCTTATACCTGTACCTCAGCAGTTTTCTGACTGGATTCTGCATGCTCCATCTTACTCAGAGGTCCGGCCTCACTGTGTGCCCTAACATGACTGTGGACATTGTTGGTTCCTTCTGCTTTGGAGAAGAGGCTGGGTCCTGAGTGGAAGCAGCTGCTGTGCCCATCTGTAGTCTACTGGTGGCCAGGCTGGAAGGTAGTGGCTAGGAGGTAGGGAACCTGCAATCCCTGAACTTGGGAATTTCAGTATGAGTTTGAGGTCAGCTTCATCTACATAGTGAAGACTCCCACACCTCTCTCTCTCTCTCTCTCTGTCTTTGTCTGTCTCTGTCTCTCTCTCTGTCTCTCTCTCTCTCTCTCTCTCTCTGTCTGTCTCTCTCTCTCTCTCTGTCTCTCTCTCTCTCTCTCTGTTCAAGACAGGGTTTCTCTGTGTATCCCTGGCTCTGTCCTGGAACTCCCTTTGTAGATCATGCTGTCCTTGAACTCAGAGATCTATCTACCTGTTGGGGAATAAAGGTGTATGCTACCAGACCAAGCCAGGGGACTGGAGAGATGGCTTGATGGTTAGGAGGACTTAATTGCTCTTCCAGAGGACCCAAGTTTAGTTCCCACAAAAAAGCAGCTTGCAAACACTTGTATCTAGCTCCAGGGGATCCCATGCCCTCTTCCATGGTTACAGGCAGGCAAACATACACACAAATCATTTTTTAACGGCACAGCTGGATAAAGTATCAGCTCTTTGGGAAAATGCTGTCTTGAGAATCTTGAATGTCAATAAGAAAGGAATTGTGTGAAATCCCTTAAATAAAAACTTAATGGCTGGGCCGGAGAGATGGCTCAGAGGGTAAGAGCACTGATTTCTCTTCCATAAGACCCAAGTTCAGTTCCCAGCGCCTACCTGGCAGCTCACAGCTGTCTGTAACCCCAGGGGACCTGGTGCCCTTGTCTGGTTTCATTGGATACTAGGCAGACATGCATGCAAGTAAAACACCTATACTCATAGAAATAAATAAATAAGAAAGTAAATTTATTGTCTTTACAACAGCAATATTAATAGACGAAGCCAGGGCTGAGAGATGGGTGGCTTAGTAGGTAAAGTGCTTTTCTGTGCAAACGTGAGGACCTAAGTTCAGATGCCTAGAGCTCAAGTAAAGGGCTGCTATGTGCCTGAACACGAGCACTGATCAAACAATAAGTTGGAAGCTGGAGAGGTGGCTCGGTGGTTAAGAGCAGGTACTGTTCTCACATATCAATAGAGGACCTGAGTGGTCTCAGCACTGATGTTAGGTGCCTCACAACCACCTGCAACTGTCGCTCTAGGGGATCTGATTCCCTCTTCTGCTCCCCATGGGCACCTATGTTCACACAACCTTTAAAAAGTAAATTTACCTCAATCTCTGTCTTGCTGGATGTGGTGGCACACATCTGTAATTCCAACACTTGGGCAGCAGAGGCTGGTTGATCTTTGTGAGTTCAAGGCCAACCTGGCCTACTTAGTCAGTTCCAGGATATTCAGGGCTATGTAGAGACACTGTTGAGGAAAAAAAAAAATAGTTCTGTTTCTGTCTCTCTCTTAGAGACAGGGTCTCACTATGTAGCGTTGAGGGACCTGGCACTTGCTATGTAGACCAGGCTAGTCTTGACCACCTAGAGATCACCTGCCTCAGCCTCATGAATGCTGGGATTAAAGGTGTGTGCCACCATGTCCAAAATTTAAAAAAAAAAAAATTTGGTTTTTTTGAGACAGGGTTTCCCTCTCTAACTCTGGCTGTACTGGAACTCACTCTGTAGACCAGGCTGGCCTTGAACTCAGAGATCTTTCAAGTGCTGGGAGTAAAGGCATGTACCACTGTCAGGTGTAAAATAAAGTTTTTTAAAAACACATAAGATTGGAAACTAGAGAGATGGCTCAGTTGTTAAGAGCACTTGCTGTTGCGAAGGGTTAGGATCCCCAGCCTCCAGAGTAGCTCACAACCACCTGTAACTCCAGTTCAATCAGATTTTGCCCTCTTCTGGTCTCTAAGGGCACTGCATGGGTATGGTATACAGCCATACATGGCAGGCAAAATAAAAATACATAGTCCTTTTTTTTTGGGGGGGGGGGGTTGTCAAGACAGCAGTTCTTTGGGTAGCCCTAGCTGTCCTAGAACTCACTTTGTAGACCAGGCTGGCCGGGAACTCACAGAGATCTGCCTGCCTCTGCTTCCCAAGTGCTGGGATTAAGGTGTGAGTCACCAGCACCTGACTAGAATATATGAATCTTAAAAAAAAAAAGATGGAGAAGCAATTGAGAAAGACATCATCAACCTTTGGCCTTCATATGCACCTGCATAGGCAAGAAGCCTGTATGTCGCACACGCACGCACACACGCATGCAGGCACGCAGGCATACTCAAGATCAAGCAAAGAAAGGGAGAAAGAGGCATCCCAAGTCACATGTATTGGTACATACTTGTAATACCAGAACTAGGGAGTCTGAAACAAGAGAATCTCAAGTTTGAAACCAGCTTGGGCTATACAAGACTCTTGTCTCAGAAAAGAGAAACAAACCATAAGAGAAAGGTGTGGGGGTGGAGAGGAAGGTATCCTTGGGACCACGTGATCATGATAACCTTACCTGCCTTTCCACACACCAAGTGGGGCAATGATTCTTCTACCCTTCTTCTTTGAACCAGGAACAAGCCACCCAAGACATTGATGGCTTGGAGAATAAAGGGAGTACAGCAGCCTATGCAGACCACTGTCATTCTGGATTCTGTGAAGTTCTTGGTGCTCTCCATCTGGTAGAGACAGACTATGGCAGGACATGGTTTATGCAGCAAGGCTGTCAGCCATGCAGGAGAGCACAGGTCTGTACCAAGAGCATTGACAGCTACCGGTGGACAGTGTCGGAAGAATAGTACACGGACAGGGTGAAAACTGAGAAGCGGGCAGGGACCAGAGGTTCCAAAGCCAGAAGAGCTTTACCCACAGGTGATGTGAACCGTGGAAAAGATTCGAGCAGGAAAGTGGATTGTTTGGAAGGAAGCCTCTAATGGAGGCTGCTTACATGGTTGTGAGTGAGAGCTGGCATTGTCTGGAATAAGCTTGGACCTTTGAAGAGAGGAGGTAAAGATTCAGGAGATATTAGGAAGTGGGGCATGAGCCGGGCAATGGTGGTGCACGCCTTTAATCCCAACACTCGGGAGGCAGAGGCAGTTGGATCTCTGTGAGTTTGAGACCAGCCTGGTCTACAAGAGCTAGTTCCAGGACAGCCTCCAAAGCAATACAGAGAAACCCTGGAGGGTGGGCTTACTGATCCCACCGGCTGCTCTCTACCCTCCTGCTAAATTATGCTCCTGTCACTGATAAAGATGGCACCCGAGCTTGGAGTCTCAGATGCTAGGGCCACACATTATTTGCAGGAGTTCCTGGCAGGCTTTTTGGAAACAATGAAGAAAAAGTCTTACCCCACACCATGGCTGAGACTGGATCCTGGGGACCACCCATATGGTTTGCTGACCACTAAGTGTGTCTTGAGTGGGCAGTGCCCCCGCTGTCCCCAAATCATTGATCAATACCTACGTGCCTGAAATGTATGCTCTTTGAACTAGTGTCTGCAGTGGTTAAGTTTTCAGGGCCGGTAGGTGTGAGATTAAGAACCAATCATCTCCTTTATTACCCCGTCACTCTGTTCAGGATGCCATTGTACTCTGTAGCAATTTTCACTAAGATAAAATCATCCATTTTGGAGGGAAGCTCCTTAAGACACTGGATGTTCTAAACTGTAGAATCTAAAGGGAGGTGAAACATTCCATCCTTCAGGGAGGCTCCTTAAGACACAGCGTGTTCTAAGGGAAGTGAAACATTCCATCCTTCAGGGAGGCTCCTTAAGATAAAAGATACTCTGCAGTGTGGTGGTGATACTCGCCTTTAATCGCAGCAGAGGCAAGTGGATCTCTGTGAGTTTGAGGCCAGCCTGGTCTACAATGTGAGTTCAGGACAGCTAGAGCAGTTACACCCGAGAACCCTGTCTCAAAACAACAACAAAGATACAAGTTATTCTAAGGGGAAGTGAAACATTGCATTCTGCCAGGGAAGCTCATTCAGCTCAGGAATTCAAGAAGTCCTGGAAACTGAAGGGATTCACTGCCCACCCCCCCACACCCTCCTGAAACATATATAAACCATGAAGACTGCTCAGATTGGTTGAATGGAAGAAACAGATCTGCCAAGCCACCTAGAGGTAGCAGAGACAACAAAGCTTCTTGGAAACAGGCTCAGACTGTTGTGCAGCCCGAAGGCTGTGCATTGTGTTCCAGGTTTCCGGCTGTCATGAGCTGTCACCCATGCTGGGATAGACTTTGGTGATACAGTTGTCTTTGGGTCATGTCTGCTCCTGTAAGTAACCCCAATAAAACTCATTGGTTCATCAAGTTTGACTTTGGTGGTATCTGTACTTCATTCTGGTCTTGGTTCCCAGCCTGGAGTGTCTGTCACACAGAACACTTTGATCGTTTAAAGGCAACTTCCTGGAATGCCAGGAGGCTGTTCATGTAAGCTAACAAAGCCAAGTGTTCTCACTTCTATAAACAAGGTTGGTTGCCCCAGCTGCACTGAATGTGCTTGATCACATGTAGGTGGGAGGCACATAGGCAAGACGTATGTC